GATTCAGATATCTAATGAAATCTGGTAATCGAAGATTGTAACATAATAGCCATTCGGAGTCCCTCAGAAACAAGCAAATATAGTTTCAGGCATCTGACTGCAGTGGAGTCAAGAAAGCAAAGAATAACTAAGGACTTCTACTTGTTGATAATCTTGAGTGCTCAGAAAGCCTCTTTTTGGTATGTCTGCTAGCTGGAATAATGTCCAACCTGTATGTTGTCCTACAAGTAAGCTCATCATAATTGAAGCTTCTCCGAATAAAAATCTTTCTGACAGGGAGTTTCTCATTTTTATAACAACAAAGTTCCATATTTCTGTGAAAGACGATCTACTTTTATGGCCTTATGGAACATCATTGTCTTTGGCTTAAATTTGTCAGGAGAAAACAAACAGTCTTGTATAGAATGTCTTATCCAGTATAGGTTTATAGTTCCATTTAGAATGGTTGCTGCTACTCTGGTGGACGTGTGTCCAAGCGTTTTCACAATGAATGGTATAGTGTTTTAAGGTTTTCTGTAACTGCTACCCAGAATGCTCACTCCTCATCAGTTAAATGCACTACGAAGTACAAAATAGTTGAAAAGTCAGTACTGTTTTGTATAGTGGTGTATAGTTCTTGGTGAGATATAACACCATATCTTTAATTGGTACAATGAGTCTGCAGTTAGCATATTTACATGAGGATTTTATTTTAACAGATGTCATCACAAACTAATTTACTAAACAATTGCTGATTCAGTGACTCTTGCATCTACATCAACTTTTGAAACTGAAAGTGGACAACTTTAAAGCACATCAAAATGATGCACCTGAGAGCATTTATTAAGAAACAAAGGTTGCCAATATATATGGACAGATATTTTTAAGTTTCATCGACCGGTACTTCGATCAATAAGTAACTCATTTCAAAGGAAACCGTCGTTGTATCGTGGATACTATGTTAATTAGGCCTCATCATTAACTAAGTTTTTCAAAGTACATTCGACCAGCGGTTGGTGAACGTATTTCAACTATTTCATCAACGAACGGAAAACTATGTAGTAAGGTGAATTATTTATGTGGATAAATCTTATTGAAATATTCTTCTCTAGACCACCATCATGCAGTATATAACATTTCAAGGCTTGAGTTCATTATAAGTCAAGCTGTCAACCAGTCACTATTCCAAAACTCTTCACCTACTGCATTTATATCTTGCTTGTCTGTCCGACCTGTCAGAGCCAACCTCATATCTCCTTTCGTATCTGTTCACAACTGCTTGAGAAACTGTAACAGGGCCATTTAAAATTTACTGTGCTTGAAAGGTTTGTAACTTTCCTATCGAAACAATTGTGTTACCTTACTCGCCAACTGTTATATGCTCAAATGTATCAATAAAAATTATTCCAGCAGAAAATGCATCCTGTCCATCTATTCTGTTCAGATTCTCTTCTTTAGCTACTAAGAACTCGAAAGAATTCCTTCTTACAAGGAATGGAAACACCCACATACTTTCATCAGTCAGACAGAATGCCAACAAAGTGAGTAGGAGTTAACACTGGTATTGCGTGGTCGAAATGAGAATAAGTGACTCATAACATTTACAATAACCAGTTAGTCGAGCTTATATATACGTATATTGGGGCGAAAGGCGTCAGTCAGCGTCGCTAAGTTCTTCGGTAGATAGATAGAACATGTAATGCGAAATCGAATTATCGCAAAATGATGAGGTGCTTGAACTGTTGAAGCAATCTTATTTATTTTTAGCTCTTATTATCGAAAGTGAATTCTCTAATTTATCTGATCATGTATCTAAACACAAAGTCATGTAATCATCTGAAAACTTCTCAGTAATTCGCAATTTATCCTACTATTTCTGATTGATTTAGGGATTTAAGCGAAAGATAATGTGCATCCTAAAGTGAGTAACATGGGTATGTGCATGTCAAGACATTTAGTAGATGTTCTGGCGACGAAAAATGAATCCCGTATTGCTCATCTGATATGGAACATAGTGACAGTATGATTTACTAGGTGACGTTTCCGGCGGGACGTTCTGCTCACAGTCATGTCAAGGTAACCACAAAATTTTCTGGTTTAGTTTTAAAGTTCCTTTTTCATCCTTCGATTTAACTGACAGTAACATTTTCCTCATATCCGGAGTTGATAGTGAGTCATCGCTGACTGCATGTTGAGTCGATTAGCAGAGGTTCCCCGGTAAACCTCTTCCTCTTAATGGAATCCATAGTACCATTGAAGTGCATTAATTAGGTTATCATATTGGTCCGGTAGCTGACTTTATAGCACCCCAATAGATGGACTATCCAAACACTCAGCATTACTATTACATCCTGCTGAAAACCATTTGAAGTCTAGAATAAATAATTCACATAAAACAAAGCTAAATAATATTCACTTAAAAAAGAATTAAAAAATGATCAGCTCGATTTGATAAACCTAAATGCTATCGCAGTATGGCTCTACAAAACAACGGGAATGAATTTCATAGTGATCCTGAGCTAGATCATACACCTAAGATACCGTTTGAAGACATCACTTTAAGACTACAGTCTTTTTCCACCTCTACAATTTTCAAACTGTTGAATAAAGCATATGAACAAACAAAGGGAGAAGCAATAGAAATACTGAAGATGCATTTCAGAGTAGCATAAAAATAAAAACTTGTATAGATCAATTTGTCTCACAGAGTGATTCGTTATATGAAATGGAAGTGGGCAGGTCTTTTGCAGAGTAGCGTCTTTATATTGGTCTGTCCTTTTATAAACTTCATGGTCTTTGAGTTCAAGGTTCATAATAATGTAAATTGCCTCATCTGTAATCCTATCTCCTCGTTTTTATTTTCCTGGTAAAAATAAGAATCAATTTTTACGGATATCCATTATCACAAAGACAACTTTCAAAAACCAAGATTTTCGCTTCAAGTCTTTTTTTGAGCAAAAGTTTTACATGTGGTTGAAGAGCATCTTTGCTTTAGGTAAGAAGATATATGAAATTGAATTACGACGTATTTCATAAATCATTATGTATCACCATCTGCACTCCGCTAATTTTCAAGACTTAGGGTAAATTCGAATCTTTCACATGCTTTACTGAAACTCTGTGTTTTGAAGTGGTTTTGTAAGCAGTTCAGTAGATAAGCTGCATCACTAGATCATAGTGAATAATAGATCCATCATCAACACACGGATAATAGTTTCCCATCCCCTGTACCTTTCAGATGTTTTCCGTTAAACTTTCCTTATAAAGTTGTCAGTTTGAACCGCACCAACTATACCATCCTGCCCACATTTATAGTTAAGTTTAAGCTGTAAATTTTTATTGCATGTGAGTAAATGATATTTGCTTTCTTCTCTAGGATAATGGAGATCAAAACCCCGATATAAAATCTCTTTACGTTGTTATTAGGCGATTCTTCGTTGTGACGTTACAAAATTTGTCAACAGAGACCGTATTATCTCTTACAAATGCTTGCACTCTATTTTTAACAAATTCAGGGGTGCGCTGATATCTTTTGATAGCTTTACGCAGACAAGCTAATTAGTGAAAGAGCGATTTTTTCAACCAACTGCATAAATCTAAGTGAAAAATGAGATTTGTGAAAAAAATAAGATACCCTAAGTCATCACAGTGAGTGATAAACATTTTCTTTATATGTCTTTACAAATTTTTATAAACAGTTTTTCTGTTGCCTCAGTTTTATCTTTCTTAAGACTTTCAGTAGTAGGTCTTGACGTTCGGGTAAGCGCACGGAACAATTAAACTGTTATAAACTGTTATGCAATAAGAGAAACGTCAATCGTATATGGGAGTATTCTAATTTTTCAGTGGCTTCATGTAATAGTGCCGTGCTTAAGTTTGAGTTTGTCAGATGCCTAGTTAATAACTTTACTTCCTATCGGCCTCACATAGTTTGCAGAGATAAAGGTGATACCTTCATCATGTATCCCAATTAATTTAGTTGTGACGCTTACAACCCATTGTCAAACCTGTGAAATAGACTATGGGTAAGCGGTGATTCGAAAGTACATGTGATTGAATCGTTTTAATCGTTTAAGGCTTGGAAAATTTTCAAAGCGTCTCTCTTAAGTGTCGGTTCGAAGTGGTTTTCAAATACAAGCCAGTGAACAGAAGCTATAACCTCCTTTTGTTCGAGAACTTTACAGAACTCTATGAGCTTCATTACAAATCACCTTTGCAAATCTTGTCCTAAACCGTAAGAATGAACAATAAGTAGCCATTTCTGTCGCAAACTGCACTCGTTTTCATAACATACTGATGAAAGAGTTTCCTATTCTAAGTTCTAATGACGAATTAAAACTGCTGATTTTCGTAACAACGAGATTGTTATTCCATGATTTGTTGGCGTTTTTGGAAGCACACAAATGAGAAATACTTTTCAGATGCCTACATGTAAGCTTCTCTAGCTCATTTTCAACTTATACTTTGGGGATAACATAACTATTTTTCCCTTCCTTTTAAACAGGACAGTAGTCTGAGTCATCTGATTGCAGGTTACCGAAGTCATAAGCTCTTTCATATACAGTGGATGTCCATACAAATCCATGAAATTACTGAATAGTAATTTTTGCCATGTAACCAATATCAATGAGCTAATGAGGCATTTAGTTAAGATCTGAGTTAACTGTAATATCTTAATTTCATACATTGATTCTCTAGGAATCATAGCTTGATAATTATTTCCTTTTATTCGAAATGATTTAAGGGAGAAATGACTATTTTGACACCAAAAGACTTCAGAATGATACAACGACTGATCATTGAGAAGTAACCAGTTTTCCGTTGTCTAGTTCTAAGTAGTGACCGGACTCTAGTTTGGAGTTCACAGGGGACATCAATTCCCTGTAGGCTGCAAATATGTCCTAACGATAAGTGTCAATAAGGGCGAAACCTAGCTCCAGGATTTGTTGCAGAATGCTTGCAACCAACCAACACTTCGGTATGATGTCATAAGATTTTCGGACCGTTTCTTATAGAGAACTGACAAATTATTATGAACTATGTTAAACAGACAGAGACTGACAAATTAGTTACTGCATCGGGCTATCACTCTGTATGATTTACCTACATAAGCTGACCAACCAACTGCATTGAATTTTGTATTCTGTATCCGCTTGCATTATACTTCTTACAGTAGTATGAATTGATTTATAAACTAGACAGTCTTTTTTGTGCATGATTTGATTTTGCATAATTCGACCTAATTTATGTACACGTAACTTTACATATTGTTGCACACACTGAAGCCATATTGTCACCATCATATTTGTATACATGTTTATGCATTTAAACTAACTAGTGTTTGAATAGTTTTGTTGAATTGGCAAGACAAAGGCAAACGAAGGTAAGAGTAAAAAGATACTAGTCACATGTCTGAAGTTAAGTTACTGAAGTTGACTTTTGTTCACTTTAGGGTCAGTTTAAACCTAGAAACTATTTAAACGTTCTTCATGTATAAATTGAACACTTCAAAGGTAACCAATCCATTACCTTTTTTAAGATACAGAGGAGAAAACGGTAGTGAAATAAAACTAAACAATGGACCGTCAAAAGGCAGTTGTTAAGAATGCTGACATGCCAGAGGAAATGCAACAGTTCGCAGTGGATACGGCCGCAAAAGCAATGTGTGACTGCAATATCGAAAAAGACATTGCAAGTTTTGTAAAGAAAGAGTTCGACAAAACATATAATCCAACATGGCATTGTATTGTTGGAAGAAACTATGGAAGGTATGTACTTTGACTATTACATGATTTTAAATTTTGCAAACATTCTGAATTGCTTTTTACTGTTATTTTGATAAACCCATGAGGAGTTGACATCTCTGAACAAAAATTTGTTACACCTGATTTTCACACACATTTGCATGAAGCACGTCCTAGTAAGATAAAACCAAATACTCATTGGAGGTAGTCAGTAATTTCCTTGTAGATATATATCTGCATTTTTTGTTTGAGAATAAACTTTTCAGGGTAATATTCAAATCTTTAGCATTCCGTTTACTTCACATTTCATTCAATCTACATTTGAAATAAATGGGGAAAATATTGTTGCTTGGAGGCGATTATAAACCAGTGGTTGATACAAAGCAAACGTCACAAATATAGTGTTGATTGTTTTGATAGTCTTGGAATGAAACCAATTATGAGTGGGTTGAGTTACTAATAAGAGGTTAGCACAAAGAAGTAGACAGAGTGATCTACATCGAAAATTCGTAAAAGGCAACTTCTATGCCTAAAAAAATGTTAGTATCATACAGCCAACTCAGTCTATATTTAATCTTTGTGTGGTAATATAATGATACCGCGACAGTGAGTTTATGATCTTCTGATGCTAGTTATTAACATTTATTGGTAATGTTTTTCCACTGATTTCAGCTACGTCACACATGAAACGCATCATTTCATTTATTTCTACCTTAACAATGTTGCCATACTACTCTACAAATCTGGATGAGTTCTGATCAATAAAAGATGGAGCATGGATTGTCCTTCAGTTGAATATCGAGAAGTCTTTTGTATTTCAATCACCTTGTGCATAAGTTGTTTAGAAAATAAACGAATTAAGAATGCTTCGTTTTGTTTGTCTTTCTTCGCGACTATCATTTCTTTCAACTATGGTTATGCAATTAGTGAGCAGACAGTATCTTTTTTAGCATAAATACATTTCACGATCTAGACAAGTTACGTCTTCTTATTGTTCTATCGGAATTCGTAAAGAGAACAAACTTTTTCGAAAATATTTTTTCTGTTTGAAAATAATGTCTACATTGTTTAGAACAGCCTCTGTCCTGTTTTACAACCAAAATAAGGAGTTACTTTCTGAAGGCATACACACTTTCAGTAGCCTGATGTTCAGAAAGTACTTAAAAATAAAACAATATAAAAATTCCTTTTTTTCTTCAGTATGGTATAATCTTGTAACTTAAAAAAGTGTGAAAAAATCTGAATTGAGCTTTAATACAAAGAGGGTAAAACATCACTTAAATTTATTGCGATTAAAAGGTTACGCGATTCCAGGATTATTTATTGAATTGAACGAAATTTAACTTCACTTGGTGGACAGAATGTATGTTGACGTTTGGAATGTGGTTGTTAGTTTTCAGTTCAACTACTCTTAGTCAACAAAATGTATGTGAAAAAGATCCCTTTAGTGACGATTCTAAGTTTGTATAGAGGAACTTGAATTATTCGAAAGACATCTAAACTATGATTTTACAATGATACACCAGTTATTTGGAGAACATAATTCTTAGCACTATAAAAGGTTTCTAAGAAGTTAACAGACATGAAATCAGCATCATTTAGCGGAAGTGGTCACAGATTTTTTGTCTTTATGTTTTAAATAACCAACAATTCATCTCTCTTTCTACACCTATAGAAAATGCATTCACAACTTAGTGTGGGAAATAAATGCAGATGGTTACTGGGAATGTAATTTGCCCTTACGTGACATAAACTAATTTTATGTTCCATGAAGTAGATTTTTAGAAGGTCTAGATTGCATTTAACCGAGACATCAAAGATAATAATTATTATTCCTATTAAAAATCAATATTTTAACTTGAAAACCACGTTATGTTGGAAGAAACATAAAGTCATTTGAACTAAAGGAAGAACATGAGATAAGAAGAATGGCTTTTAATTATAAAAGCAGATATGTGTGACTTCAAACTTCTTTACAATGACATTAAGTATGAATGCGAGATAAATCTATTCAAATAGTCTATGAGTATTTATGACAATTTTTATTTGACTCCCATTGTTATTAGCTTTCTGGACAATTAAGATAATATTCATAAGTTTGACTAATTAGATTAAGTCAGAAACTATCAGGATACAAAATAATTAAATTTGACGATGATGTTCGTCACTTACAGTTAAATCTCTTATTTTATATTTCCCAGGACAAAGTTAGTTTACCACCAAGAAATGTACTTTGCACTTTCAGTATTCACAAAGTATAAGTCTTGAACCAACTTTGACATTGTAAAATTAATTAATTTTTGTACTGAAAAATACCTTCATTTCAAAAATAAAACCAACATCAGAGGTCTGCATACTCTCGCTACTTCTTTGCTTTTTTGCAAGAATAAGTGATTAAGACTTACTTGAGAGTGAAATTATTTTAACTTGCTTTGAGAATCACTAGAGCAAATCAAATGACCTCTTTGTCTATATATTGACTGTGGATTCGAATAAGCTGGTTTGATAAATGAAATAAATACCAGCACGTAATTTTATTGACTTTCTAAATAAATATATTAAAAGTAAGCTAGAATAAGAAATGGAAGCCAGGTAACATAACACACTATAACCTAAACTTGAAAAGTACTATTGTTTACAATCTTTGTGGAAAACACTGAATAAAATAAAGGCAAAATAATGATGACTGTTTACGTAGCTAAAAAGAAAATTTATCTTACACTTTTACACACCAAAGCTTCAATGAAGTTCTATTTAGAGTGATTGAAATTACGCAGCCACTATGCATTACGAACTGACTTCAGAGTACTGATAACTTCACAAATAGATGACAAGTATTTTATTCATTACTGAGGTATTTTGACAAGTTATTAGAAACATATCTTTCTTAATAGTAATATGTACATTATTACCAAATACTTTGGCAAACTTTAAGTTTTTATGTGATATCCAAAATGAAATGATTTACTGTATGAATTTTTAACTCAGTTTTCAGAAGTTTTACCATCAATTTGAAGTTAAATGATTTGTTAGTTGAATTTTGTTCACTATGCCTGTTACCAATTTGGCCGCAAACAGGGTTAAAACCCTTAGAAAATAATATACTGTATAAGTGAGATTCCCTGTTTTGATACGAACCGTTCAATAAAAATGGACTGCTACTACTGTATCAGATAGTATTGTGAAACGAAATAAGTTTTTGTCAGATTGTATAACTTGTCAGGAATATTATTCTCAGGTTAGTGACTTTATGTTTGAGAATTTAAAGCCAACTATTGTGTTCTCTGAAATCAAGTTGGCATTCATTACAAACTGATATCAACTGAAGAAACGCTGAACTGATATCAGTTATGTATCAACCTGAAATCATTGAATAAACCCCATCAGACCTCCAAACTGAGTTCTCTAAAATATAAGACAAATGTACGAATCATATTTGGTACTGATCTTTAGGTGAAGGTCAATAAACACGTAAGTGTCAATTTGTAGTCACAAATGCGAACTCTTCAAAACTTTGGAATCAAAAATTGAAGAATAGGTTTATTGCAAGTGAAACATGGCCATATTCTCAAAATTGATCTTTTGATTTGAATACGTTTGTTCAAGTAAATGGTGTTGGAAATCAACAAATAGTAACAGCCTGAGGCGTCAAATTACTTCTGTAAATAATCTATGAAAAGAAGAAGAATAACTCAAGCATGTGACGTATTATTTATGTGCATTTCAAATAACTTAACTGAGTATAAACGTGTCGAAATATGTATAAGACAATTCAAGAAAGATCAGTGAAGTCTGTAGGAAGCATAAAAAGAATAGAAATGTCCTTCTTGGTATGTAAACTGAAGTCATAGCTACTAAATTAGGTTTAAAATGAGTACAAACTATTTTAGGATACACAAAACAGGCTAAAATTTACGAGTAACAAGAGCTTCGATAGATGCAAGCACTTATTTCTGGCGAAGCTAACATAGTACACTGAACACTGTTTTTAGTTTAATTCTATAATTAATATCTAGTATTTTGGTGAAGATGAGTTTTGTCACCTACATTTATGAGGTCATTCGATGTTTTATTTTTGAAGGCAATTAAGAACCTGTTCAACTACCCTAAAATGCATTCTAAGATTACCTCTCCCTATGTAAATGTTTGCACCCACATTAAAAATGATTTATACAACGGAATGTGATGCGGTCATTTAAGTATTTTTTTGTTTTTAAGCTTGAACTTTACCTTCGGTGATGGTGTTAGTTGCATGGTACGTTTTGCTAACGATGTACCTATTGCTTTTATCGCTATGAAGTTAACCAAAATAGCTTTGAAATAGCTACAGCCTAAAGACATTGCTCTCGAGGACTATAAACGGAAAAGATTTCGTTAGTTACTTCTGCTTTAGTATCATCTGTACACATTCGATATCCCCTTTTAGATAAACACTGGGTTGACCGTCGTTTATTTCATCTGGGTGGCAGCTACTTGAATTAAAATACCATTCTCTAGGTTGACTCCTTAACCGAAAATTACATATAGCGACTAGCTATTATGTCTATAACTGTCAACTAACTGCTTAGTTCTTCTTAGCAAGAAAAGTTGATGCTGTTTTGAACCTTATTCATCCGGAATAACCGCTTAGCGTCAATGCACTTGCTACATAAAATGAAAATATCACTAATATATCCCATACAAATAGAAGCCATTACAATACGATCAATATTAAGATTATCAACATATTGCATAGAGACATTAGCTAGCAGGAATCTCAAAGATCTAACCACGGTAAAATCACCAATTTGCTAATGGTGTCTACTGTGGAATGTGAAATGTACTACATTGCTACATACTGATGATTAATGTTTTGAAAAAATACGGCAGACAGGATAAAAAACCTCTCAAAGAATATTGATTATCTTTATTTGCAATACAGTAGTAAATAAAGGGCACATGGTCTAGTTGTTGACATAAGTATCACTTAGTTAGTCAATGAAGTCCGATGCTTCTTCTGGTGTGAAAAATCAACAAATCATTACTTGATTTTAGAATTTTGCCAATCATTTTGCTTGGGTACATGGATGACTGAAAATAAAATAATACTGGGCGTATTAGAGGGTTAGAATAATATTTTCCAGGATCCTAAATAGATGGAGACATTCACTTCCTATGGGTCTTAAATAATCAAATTCATATTCAGTAATAGCCTTCTTATAAGGCTTTCTCATCAGGTTAGAGTATACACTTCCTTCTACTGTGCCTTTATCTTCAGATCGAATGTCCACCATAATTTTTTCCCCGCTAAGAACACATAATATTACCTCGTTAATCAAAACAGTTAGAAATAGTATACTTTATCCCTCAAGTATAGTAAGATCAAAACTATTTCGTGATCCTTTTAATGCCTTGAGGTATAAGTTGAGTTTTATCTTAGATTAGGAATTTGAAATTAAATAAAAATTATCAATTAAGTTAACCTCAAGCCAATTCCAATTACTACAGATATCTATGATGATGAGTTCAGTTACTGATAAGGATTTTTAAAATGGTTATCAGTCGCTTCACCAGAAGTTTGTGATTCAGGATTGGGAATAGGAAACCTGAGCGAAATTGTTCCTTTCTTAAGAGCAGATGGCTAAATGAAAGAAAAGTTCCTCACATTTGTGTTGATATTAGATGAAAAAGGATAATGAGATTCCTTCAACTTCATTCCTATATTTTTCTTAGTTTTTGTGATATATATGTAGAAACTATAACCTTGATACGGTAAATACGACATATTATGCGTGCAAGTGTAGTTCCATCCACCCTGAAAGCTTTTAATTACAGTTTTCTACACAATTATTAAAAACTAGAATAAAATTTGGGTTTAGTTCTAGTTTGATGAAATATATATTTCGATAGAATTTTCAGAAGGACTATGTTTATAAATGCAAGACTTACAAAACTTCAACCTAATCCCTTCGAAGGCGACTTCAGACTTTAGGATATCACTTCATTCAGCCATTCTGAAGTGAGCTGCAAGAGTTTTATTGGTTGAAAAAAGTTAGTTCTCTTCGTCTTTTGCAATCCTACATTTCATTCCCTTTCTCAAGGCTGTTGATTTGATGGATAGTACTAAAGTCAGCTAATCAGTTTCGAAAAATAAAACCTTGTTCTACCTGAAAATTGCTCTATCAATATTCTTAGTAAAGTCTCCAAAAGAAGTATGCTTTTAATTATTGCAGTTACACACCTTAAGTATGTATTAAGGAGTGGAATATTTAGGT